GGAGAGCGGGAGGTGTCGATGGGGCAGTTGTGTTGCTGAGCAGGATCCAGGGGGCTCGGTGGGTCCAGCTGGACACCAGTCAGCAGTGTGCGAATGCGGTTTTGGGCTGCTTGAGCAGAAATCGCAGCTGTACGATGCAGAAGGCGATAGTCCTACCCGACATGGTGCCAGCCAGGCCTCAGTTGGAGTCCTGTGTGCAGTTCATAGAAACGAGGGTGGGAAGGGACCCCACCTAGTCCAGCCCCCTGCTCCCAGCAGGACCCATCCCGACTACATCATCCCAGCCAAGGCTCTGTCTATCCAGGTGTTAAAAACCTCCAAGGATGGAGACTCCACCACCTCTCTGGGGAGCCTGGTCCAGTGCTTCACCACCCTCCTTGTGAGAGAGTTTTTCCTAATCTCCAACCTCAGCTTCCCTTGCTGCAGCGTGAGCCCATTGCTCCTTGTCCTGTCATCCGCCCCCACTGAGACCAGTCCTGACTGCTGTGTTTTAAGGAGGCAGGTGGCAAAAACAAGGGGTGCCATCCAGCCGAGAGAGGGGCGTTCAAGAGGCCGAGGTGTGTTTGGCTCGGAAGAAGGGAGGTTAAGGTGGGACGTGGCTGGAGCTGTCAGATGCGTGCCAGGCTGCCCGAAGGACAAGGGCAGACTGCCGTTCCCCTTCAGAGAGGGCAGGGCAGGGAGCGGCGGGTCTGCACTGCAGCAAAGCAGGCTGAGGTTCAGCCCTGCCAGAGCAGGAAGGCAGCGCGGCAAGCTCCCTGGGGCATGACGGGGTTTTCGAGAAGAGCCCGGGGGGCACTTCCTTGGGATGTTTTGGGAGCACTGCATCATGCAGGGGGTTGCTCCCTGGCCATGCAGGCCCCATCCATGGCCTTGTGTCTTGCCGAGCCCTGGATTGTCTTTACAGATTCCTGCCGCTGGGTCAGCCTGTCTCCTAGACAGGCTGCTTCTGCGCGCCTCGGGAGTTAGAGCCTAATAAGCCGTGGTTTCCTTCTCATGCTCACAGCCTCTTATCTGCGCTTCTGGCTGGGAGGGTGGTCACGTGAGTGTCATCTCCTAATTGCCTCCCGCCTTCTGCCTTCCTGTCTCGCAGGCTGCTGTGTTGAGAACCTGTTTGCAGGGGGTCAGTTCATCATAAGGTTCAGAGCCGCATTTCTGGGCCTTCACTCCTCCCTGAAAAAGGTATGACTAATCTCAGGCTTGGTCTGTGGCTGGAATGGACAAAACTGTCTCATGCTGGAGCAGATTACTCTTCTGCCCAGACGGGGATGAGCTGTGCTGGTCTACTTGCATGCACGCTTGGGCAAGGGGTCTTGCTTGAGCACTACAGAGGGAGGGCGATTTTGAACCCCGAGGTCCTTTTGAGGATGCAGCGGGGCGCTACGTAATGTGAGCACTGTTAGCTGTGCAAACACGATTCGGGAGATCCACCCAGAGGTTTCAAACAGGAATCCCCCCCGTTAAACACGCTGCACCCTGCTGTGGGCTTTCTGAGATCTGTGCAGCAGAAACGTTGCTCTGTTGTTTTTTCCTGCACCTAAGAGCTGGCTGCCCCGAGTCTAACAAGGGGTGTCTTGGGCTTTCAGTCTAAAAAGGTGGAGCCCCCCCTGTTCTAGCCCTTGGAGGTGGCTGCGCACATCTGGTCTGCTCCAGGTCTTGGTACCTCTGAAAATCAGGCCAGTTACCATCAGGAGGGAGGGACCGTGCCACGGAGAGGCGTGTTTGCAAACATCTCCCTTCTCGGTGTCCGGAGCTGCATGTGCTCCAGTTCAGTCCCGGAGTTTGACCCGTGTTGTTTCCTCTCGGGGAACCTTCCCCGGGCTGCGGAGGGGTGTAGTGCTGCCGGCCCCCTGAGGAAAGCACTGCTCCTTTTCTGTCGGGTGAAGGTGTTGCTGGGGTGGACAGTCCTTGCATAGGTAGGTGGGAAGCCTGCCGGGCACAGTTTCTTGGCTGTTTGCAGTGCCCTGCTCTGTGAGCTGCTCTCGGGATTTGGGCAGCGCTGGGGTTTTTTGGTCTGCTTCTCTGCAACGTTTTGCATCTCAGCTTCCTGTTCTGCAACATGCACCGGAGCACAGCGCTTCCATCACCCACATCCTGGGGCTCTCTGTGACCCTAGGGCCCTGATCTCCCATTGCTAAAATGGGGGGTGGTTCCCTCCTGGCCTGGAGCACCGTGGGGTAAGCGCATTAAAGCACGCATGGTGCTGGGAGGCAGCACAGAGGAAGTGAGCAAGCACTCTAGTAACAGGAGCACCATCCTGCCCCTGCACATGGGGCTCGGGACACCGCAACAGAGTTCACTGCTCATCCTGCTCCCGGCTAACAGGTGGTGGGAGGGCAGGGCAGGGCAGGTGCTTTGCAGGAGGACAAAGGTCCCTGTGTGCTGGATCAGCTCCTGAGGAGTGGAAGGGCTCTTTTGACACCTGCAGGAATTGGGCTGGCCCTGGGTGTTGCTTGGTGGCGGCCTGGTCCCTCTGCTAGAGGCACCGGGTCCCGGTGTTTGCTGTGACCTCTGCTCGGGTCTGGCAGAAGCCCCATCATTGCCAGAGACACGGTTTTCTCTGGAGGGTTGGCCACCGCGGGCCCTCTGACCCGCACGCGCAGCACGTCTGCAATGCAAGAGGAAGCGAGGGCTACATTTGCATGCCGGCTATGCAAAGCAGGAGCAAAGCAGAGCGCAGGAACTTTTGCAAAGAGCCGTTTGCAGTCAGGAGGGTCCGGCAGGGCAGGCTGAGGTTCTCTCTCTTCCCCAGACTCTCTTGCAAGTCAGAGTGTGTTTTGCAAGTGAATCCATCCGATGTGACAGGAAGAGCTGTGGGGCTGGTTTTGTTTTCAGTCATCCCTGGCCACGTGTGTGCTCCAGCCCCGGCTTGACCCGCCTGTTACAGCCCATCATCCCCTCCTCGAGGGAGCCCTGTGCTCGGTCTCCCCTGCAGTGAGGAAGGTGATCAGGTGAGGACCGGCCTGGTTCGTCAGAGGTCCGTGGGGGACCGGGAGCTAGAAACAGACCCGGATCATTCCTGCGCCCGCTTTCTAGCTCCAAACACTGATTGCGCCTCTCCGTTTTCATGGAGATCTTTATTTCCTCTAGATGAAGTTGCTTCAGAATTGCACTCCTTCTTCTTTTTCCTTCTCTGTTTTTAAGTTTTATATCCTCTTTTTCTGCTGTTCCTTCTCTCCCGGGTTTAACTGCATGTAATAGCCTGTGCTTGGTAGGACAGCATGGGACGGTCTGAGGGAAACTGAAATGTCCCGTCTGACCTGCCCCCTGGACAACCTTGAAGCAGAAAACACCTTTGCTGGTTTGGGAGAGATCTTGGTCTAGGTATTTTTGGAGAGGGAAGTACCGCTGTGTGCAAGCATGCGTCCCTTGGCTAGGTGCAGATCCCTACCCCTATCTCTGAAGCATGGCAACATTGTCGTCCCTGCCTGTGTGACTCTTGGGGGGAGGTTTATTATCGGAGCTGGGGATTAGACCTTGACAAAGTTGCTGTTTCAAGGTTTCGCTCTGTTGTTTTCGAGTCGGACAGTTTTAAGGGTTGTTCCTCTCCTCCCTCCTAATAGCGAGGGTGACGCCAGTGGCGAATGCTAATATCCCCGGTGTCTGGATGGGCATGGAGCTAGCACAGCCTCCGCCAGTTGCTGCGTGCGTGGCAAGCCCCTGTCGGCGTGCTGTCTGGAGTCCTGGTTTGGAGAAACCTCCAGGTACAGTCCAAGCAGACCCTCCCCAGCCCTTAGCTGTAACGTAAGGAAGGGCTCCCTTTCCCCCGGTTCCTTGCAGGGACTGGGCACTTCCTCTGCTTGCTTTCAAAGATGTTAGACATTAGGGCTGGAACGGGCCTCGGAAGATCATCGAGTCCAGCCCCATTTCCTTTGCTATTCAGGGTTCGTGGTGACTGGAGGGAGGTGTTGGCTGGCATCAGTTGGCAAAGCTAACTGAATTCAGTGTGCAGAGTTTGGAGCCGAGGTTGATCTCCTGAGACGCAGGCTCTGTTGTTTGGCTGCAGGGCAGTCTTTGAACTGCGTCTTTACTGCCTTTTAATAGAAAGCGCCTCTTTAGCCCTTAAATCCATTTAACTGCAAATCCTGTTCGGGCCCTGCGCACGTTTCTCGCCTCACAAAGCAGCTTTCTGTTCGCGCAAGGCTTGCATGGGAAGCAAGGGGCATTGCACCGTGGTCGTGCGCTCAGCCACTTACCTGTTCCTGACTTCAGCCGCCTCCTCCTTGCCCAGACTCGAAAGTCTGTCTGGCCAGGCCAGCCAAGGATGCGAATGCTTCTGGCTTCTTGGGTCAGGTCTGCCCTCGTGATGTCTGCCAGCTCCTTGGGGCACAAAGAGGCTGGGATCTCTGGTGTAGCTGCTGCAATACTGGCAACGCAGCTCTCTACTGATGTGGCTCCTTCCTCGCGGCGGGGATGGCTTTATCCCACCCACACAGAGCGCGTCCCAGCCACGTGTTCCCGGCATCGCCGGAGCCCGCCGGGCACTGCAGGTCAAGACAAACAAGGCCTTTGAGGTGGTGTTTGGTTCGTGCCTGCAGCATGAGATGGTTTCGGTGCTGCTGTTGGAAGGGTTGGCTGGAGCCGGCGGCAGCATGGATGGCGGCTGGGAAGATGCAGCAGTCTTCCGCCAGCTGCAGGGCTTGCTGCGGGAAGGATGAATTTGAAGTGGTTTTTTTTCCTGCCTTCCTGGCTGTGGCTTCACCTTGCCCACATGCTGGCCGAGGGGACGAGGTGAACCCAGAGGCTCAGAGACTGAAAGTGGCAGCTGGCTGGTGACGCAGCCCCGGGGCTGGGGCTGGCTGCAGGGTCTCCTTGGGAAAGCGTGCAGGGCCCCGGGCAGCGCTGAGTGGCTGACTTGCAGCCTAGGGAGAAGAGATATAGCCCTGCCCCAGAACAACCAAAGGACTTTTCACTCGTGCTGCCACTTAATTCGTCACTGATGCGTGTCTGGTTTGTCTGGCGCGAGGGAGCACCTGAGCTGTTGCCACCTCCCCCTGGCCTGGTTTGGGGGTGGTTTAAAAGGCTCCAAGCTGCTCCGCTGGCTTTTTGGTGCCTGTAAGCCCACACCAGGGGCAAGTGTGCATTGCTGCTCCGTGTCAGGTGTTCATCAGCATCGACCTGTCCGGTTATAAGGAGGGTGAAATGCTTTGGAGGCTCTCTGAAGTGTCCGACAGGGCTGACTGCACCCTTCCTCCAGGCTTCTCCCAAGGGAGGCAGCATGGGGTGCAGAGGGGCCTCCTTGGCCAGCTGCTAATTATCAACCTGGGCTGATAATAGCTTGTCAAGAGTCCCCTGTGCTTCTCTTCTAGGTGTGTCCCCAACCTGGCCCATTTTCGTGCAGATGAGGGCAGGGATTGTTGTTGGAGATGGAAAACAAGGTCCCGCTCCTGGCTTGACCCTGCATGCAGCAGGCTTTGCTCCCTCGCAAGCCGGGCTGTTTGCATGGCTCTGTAGGGGTAAAGGCACCAATCCAGACCTGATCTGTGCCCTAAAGAGAGCAGCCCTGTGAGAACATCTTTGCTGGTGTCTCTTCTTACTTGGCTTCCTGATGGAGCCAAGCCATCGCTCGGTCCCTTTCAGGAGTGGCCCCGCTCGGATGCAATGTGGGTTTTGGCTGTGTGAGTGTAAAGGGTTTTGATGAGAATCAAACACCAGTAAATCCTCCTGCCAAGTGTTTGTTCTCAGGGGGCTTTTTCTGTGGGCAGACGGAGGCTTCCCAAGATGAGGACAGAGATTTTCTGGTCTGCTGGTTCTCAATACCCAGGTGAAGCCCTTTCCATTCTGGTTGTGGTTTGAATGAAGGGCCTGGGGAGCAGACTGCAAGCCTGATAACATCTTAAGCTTCTCCACCATAGTGATTGCAGTTCTGCAGAGCTGAGCTCTGCCTCTGGTCTTTCCCTGTGCTCGTTTGGTAATCTCAGAAACAAGCCCTGTGTTATCAGGAGATGTGGGTGTAGCCGAGTTGCACACACCCAGCCGGCTTGGGTCTGCAGCAAAAGAAAGAAACCCTGAGAAAATCTTCCCTTTTAAGAGTAGTTGAGTAGTTCCCTTTTAAGAGTAGTTGAGCACAGTCGGCGCAGAGGCATTTGCAGTGAGTGGGGAAGACCCTGCAGTTTGTGCGGCTTGTGAGCAAGGTGTGGGGCAGCTCCCCTGGTAGCGAGGCTGCGATCCAGCAGGTAAGACGTTGCTTCCACTGGGGTGGGGCTGGCTTTGCTCCGGAGAGCTGGGTTTGGCCCAGGACACGAGCGAGCTGGCGCTGGCAGCAGATGCACATGCCCTCTGGAAGCGAGGGGCATGGCCGTGCCCCTTGTCCCGCTGTTTCGTGCCTGGCGGCGGGCTCAGCAGAGGTCCCCGGCCAGGGTACTCAGGGCCTGCTCTCCACACTGTGCCAGGAAGCCCTCCTGCACCAACCGGGCGGGGTGTGGATGGTCAGGGCTGCCCAAGGCCAGCTAACTCCTGGACTTTGGTGCCTGCTGGTGTGATTGCGTAGGCGTCGGGAGCAGCCCTGATGTTGGCGCAGGGGTGACAGCAAGCAGTGCCACCCTCTGCAAGCCAGCCCGCAGTTACGAGCCAGGGGAAGGTAGCACCACGTCCGGCAAGCTGCGTTACCCCAGGGGTGATTCCAGCCTGCTCTTGAGAACGGGCAGTGACAGTCAGCCGGGTCTCGCCGCCTACACCCAGCACAGAGGAGAATTCGACTCCCTGCCGCCCAGCAGGTAGCAATCCTACAGCCGGGGCCAACCCAGTCACGTGTGCTTGTTGCAAACATCTGGTTCCCACGTTCTTCACTTGTCTGTGCTCCCTGCAGCCTCGGGCTATTTTAGAGCACGGAGGCCTTAGCTATGGGTGGGCGCCAGCGCGGCGTGGAGGAGGATGCAGGCGGGTAGGGGTTGGGAGCAAAGGTTGCTCGAGCAACCTGCGTTTCCTGCTCTGAGCCTCATCAGCAAGTCAGCCGGTGACCTGCCTGCCTGGAGTCTCGGATGGGAAGCGGATCCTCCGGTTCTTGGTGCGGGGTGTGGTGCTAACCCGCCTGCTGTGGCGGCACCTGTGCTGCGTCCGAGCCCTCCCTCGTTCCAGGGACACCTGCGCAGAGGTGGTTTGCCCTGCTAGTCTGAGCCAGGCAGAGGCAGCCCAACCCCTGGACGACTGGTTCAGGGAGGCTGCTGTAGTCGGATGCTGGGGCTGGGCTGGCAGAAAGAAAGTTTTTGTGTAAAATGGAAAGATGCAGGCAGAGGGGGGGCTGCCAAGAGAGGTGATTAGCAGGGTCGATTAGATTGATTAGGCTGTACAGGGCACTCGGCACCTGCAGGTGCTGGTCCAAGTGATGGGCTGAGAATCAATACAAGCCCCCCTTCTTCCCCTGTCTTCGTGGGGGCTGCTGGTGTTCAGAGACGTGATATCTCTGGTAGCGAGCATGGCATTTGCTGGAAGCTTGTCAACGGAGTCAGGTTTCCTGAGGAAATGCATGGTGTCCTTCAGATAAGTGGCAGCTCGCAGGGCTTACAGGACTAGAATAGAGTCAGCACAGCCAGAAACGCCCTCCGTGATGGTGCCGGAGGCAGCGGGGTATTCCGGTTTGCCAGGTTTGTGGATCTTTGGGTAATAAGTAAAAGGGCCCAGGCTCGGTTCCTGGGGCATGGAAACGTGAAAGCTCTGGCCTTCCTGAGCCAGTTAGCCTCTAGGTTGCCGCCCTGCCCTGCCTTTTCCCTGTTCCCATGAGAAGTTTGATTCCTGGTTGCAATGCGGTATTCTTCCAATTCCGATTTCCAGCTACAGCTGTATTTGTCCAGTGGGCTTTCATGCATATTTCCAAATTAGAAGCAAATATCCCCATGCTTTTTTAAACCAGCAGAACTTCGCTGTGCTCAGCAATTGTAGCTGATATTTGCAGAGATCCTTTAGCCTTGCTGCACCCGGAGGAATTCAGTGCTCTTAAAATAAAAGCCTTTCTTTTTTTTTTTTTTTTTTTTTTCCC